TAGATTTCCGAACATAATACTAGGCCCTGGTGCTCTGTCATACAATTTGGTGCTATTGAAAATATGAATTTTATAGATTTGAGATATCTATTTGAAGTTGTATATGACGTTGCGTTGTGAAGCTGTTTTAGCTTTGACAGACAGCAACCTAAAACGAATGAAGTGTGTCTTGTCTACTAACTCAAATAGATATCTCAAATTAACTATAGGCAGATGATGAGTTCATCGATTGTGAGATGGGGATCAACCAAATAACAGGGTTCCAAACATAATATTAGGCCCTGGTGCTCTGCCATACAATTCAGTGCTATTGAAAATATGAATTTCTAGATTGTACAAATTGCTTTAGAATGTTTTTTACTTATGTTGTCCAGATAAATGTAAAAAAAAATAAAAATCCTAGAGCTGGATACATATCAGCTCTTTGCTCTTTTAAAAAATTGTATATTTTTTGTTGACTAATTTTTGCATGATTCTATTTTATCTTGCTTGAAGTTTCTATTTTGCTGGCTTCTACATGTATTCAGCTCGCTGGACTTTTTCTTATATGTTATTTGAACTTTTTTCTTTAGTTCTGTATTTATGACTTGGTTTGACTTGCAGTATGTGTATATTAGTTCTGGACATCTTAAATATATGCAATGCTACAACTTTTTGCTTTTGTCTGTATTAAAAAGTTTTATCTGCAAGTTGGTGATTCGGTTACATTTGACAATCAGGATTTCTTTATAGTGTTTTTTTTTAGCTGTTATTTTCTTAGATTCATGTTATTTGCAGCATATGCTTTGCTGCTTTGTGATTTTTGTCTGTGCTGATTTCGTTAGTGACTTATTCTTATTCTGTCCTTTCATTTTGTTTTATTCTGTAGATAAGAAGATTATTCCTAGGGTCACTAATGATGTCAAATTGATAAGTGGGGGCAAAATATTAGAGAACAACAAAACAATTGCCCAGTGTAGATCACCATTTGGTGAGCTTCCTGCAGGGGTTATCACCATGCATGTTGTTGTGCAACCGTCATTGACTAAAATTAAAACTGGTAAGCTTGACCTTGTTTACTTGGATCTTGTTACTTCTTCTTGGAAGCTATGGAACTATCGTATCTTTTTTTACTCTCTGAAGTCCAATTATATTTATATGAAATTTCATGCCATTTGGTGCATTGCGTAGATTTCAATTGACTGGCAGCAGCTTGGTTCTAATATTAAGAATGACTCATTAAGTCTATCTGGAGTCTGAGAGAATTTATTTGTGAAGTTTAAAGTGTTGCAGACATGCTGCATAAAAATATACACTATATTTGTATTTTTTAAGCCAAATTTCTAGGTTTTTTGCTAATCAGATGGGAGCTGAGTTTTCATGGGTACGATGATGCAATGAACTCACAGACCCGATACTACACCTATAGGATTTGTTAGTGAGAGTATGCAACTGATTTAAGCCAAACATAGTGAATTATCTGCCACTGGATGGATACCAATAGTACACATGCAAGTGAAAGGAGGTAAACTGAAGAAGAATTGTTAGAACAACAAAAAATGACAAAGCAGGCCTATACTAGAGAAGCAATCTTTTTTCCTTTCAATTAGTTGCAAGTGTTGATACTATTGTCTTTTTGGCTCAACACTTGAATATGCCTCTGTTAATCAGCTTAAGAGTAGACAGTACTTTGTCATGGTTTAAGATTTTTCAGAATAAAATTGTCTTGAAAGCTATTAAGTCCTTTTCCAAGTGGCTCTAAGGTGACTTGTTTAGTGATCTAAAACTGAACTTCCAAGGGAATAATTAGCTGACAGGTATGATTCAGATTAATGGCTGATCATCACTTTAGTCTCCTGATTAGTGTCCATGTACATTCCTCAGACCAGCATGCAACTACAACATTTATATGCATTAAAAGATCAGATTTCAATAGGCTGGCTACTGAACAGTACTTTGCTAACATGAACCTTCCTAAGATTAATGGTTGCTTCTTTGTTTCAACTAAAAAAACAGCAGGGTGGTGAGGGTAGCCAAATGGTCTAGGCAATGCCGGTGCCAATGTTGAGCTTTTTTATTGTTTGGAAAAACCTTTTCGTCGATGTAACAGTAACACACACACAACAATGTCTACTTATTTGTCTGCCTAAATACCATTGATTTTTTATTTTTCAAAAAAATCTTATATGATGCATTTTTTCTTCATTTTTAAATACATGATGCATGCTAACTCTTAATATAACACCAGAAAAGAAGGTCGACGAGTTTCCGAAAAAGACAACCTGTTCTTGCTCTATATTGTAGAGCAAGGAGAGAACTTCAGTGCTTGTGGCCAGCAGCAACGAAGTCATCTGCTGTTGGGCTTTATCGGCGGTGAGCAGAGATCAGAGGTGGACGTGCCTGTCTTCTGGGAAAGAACTGTCATATCTGTTTGGTGTAAGCTGTTGAAGAATCGGGTTTGCTGTATGGTTGTGCCATTTGTGTTGAGGGAGAGAGTGGCTCAAGGTCTATGTAAGGAGTAGATTGTACCTGTAGATCTCATCACAGATTTAGAGTTTTGGATAAAACATATTTGTATATTGATTGCATTGGCTGCTAATTATTTAGATAATACCAATGGTTCCCATGTTATACTCCATACTGTGTTATTTTGATCCAGACAAGTTGATAATGGCTGGATGAAGGACATCGATGAAGCATTTCAGTGAGTTTTGAACAGGTCATGTAAACTTCACTTTCTTGCCAAACATTATGCTACGGATATCATGAAATGCTTTACAAAACTAATGCCCCCATTGGAGTCAATAAGTGAGCACTTACTGCACAAAATCAAAGCCCCAAGGCAAACTTTTATTTGAAGACATTTAAACCGACTGTAATTCTAGAAACTAGGCATTATTCGTATTTGTCTAGGATCTTTATGAAGTCGCTTTTTCCCTAATATATAGTTTCTTTATCGAAACTTGGTATGTTGAGATTTTCTTTAGTTCAAGTTAGATTATAGATCTTCTAATAAAAAAAAATAATAGTTTTATTGGTTTTGAAATCTTGTATAATGGTTTATGTGAAGAATTAAAGTCATTTCAGAAACTCTGGTTGCCAACAAGAAGTAAAAAATTTATAATCAACATGAAAAGAAATTAAATTTTAGAATAACTAATAAATTTTTTATATTAATAATACAAAAAAAAAATCAATCCATGTCGATTTTATATCCTAATTATTTATAGGCCAAGAATGTCTGAAACTAATTATATTCTCACAATTAATCTATAGTTTGACACTGTACAAAAATAACAAATAGATCATCAACCAACTCATGATGAGATTTATCATTGAGGAACGAATAATATACAATAAGGAATATCTCGATTGACTTGCTATTCTTGATTACTATGTAATTTATCTTCCAAAGTCAACAATTGACTTGACTATTAATGATGATCTAGTTTTATTTCTACAAACTATCGAAAGTATAAATTTTGATAAATAAATTGATGCTATGAAAGATAAATTAAAATCTACATAACAAAATCAAGCACGTTAAAATTTTCTTCAAAGTTATAAGAAGGTTGAGTGTAAATGAGTTGACAAAAATATAACTCAAACAATAGTATTAAATAAATATTATTTAAGAGATGGGTTGTTATAGAGATGGGATTGAATCTATGATTTTGATAATGAAACCAATTGATAAGTGTTTATGATTTAATCTACGTTTTGAGTGATGTGAGATACTTCGATCAACCTCCCCCCCCCCCCCCCACTTTAGTACCGTTCTTGATCCTAACAATAACAACTAGTTTTGAGGACTTTTATGAAAAAAATCTAAAAACCTACCGTTAAGCTATATCATATGCTCTCCAAAGCTCTCTCCTTAATTCTAGTGGCAAGTGGAAGCCACCACTTCACCGAAGAGCCTTTCGACAGTCCAGTCCGATCGTGGCAGCTAAAACATTAACATCTTTGCTAAAATTAGAGGAATTCAGCTCAAGTAAAGTCAAACTTCTTCGAGCTTCATTTCAGAAAGGCCCAAAACAACTGCTGCTATTAGATTTTTCAAATTTTTAAAAAAGGAAAAGTTTATGAAAATATTTGCAAGTATAATATTGAGAAAAAAAACACTCAACATAAGCCAGCCGACATGGAAAAAAAAATCAAACACAAAATTTTGAGTACCTCACGAATCCCAATTTTTATGTTTCTGTTGAAATAAATCATGAAACATTAGCTAGATTAATTATTGTTAAATATTTGTCTTTTACTTTCGATGAAAAAAATTGATAATATTTATGTAATAATAAAAACTATTTAAAAAGAATATTATTTGATTTTTAAAATTAGTTTGACAATGCTGTGGCAATTATTGCTTTTATTCTACAATTACCACAAGTGTGTCAATCGACTTTTAGT